GAGTGATGGTGGCCAAGAAGGATGTTCACATGCCCAAACACCCTGAGCTGGTGGACAAGAATGTGCCCAACCTCCACGTCATGAAAGCCATGCAGGTAGGGGCAGGTGTGGGGCAGGGGGTGCACAGGAAAGCTGCAGGTGTGGGGGCAGTGGAGTAGGTGAGGGTCGGGGGGCATAAGGAGTCATACTGTGGTTCTTCCTGTGCACGTGAACCTCTCCGTGTTTTCCACCCCCTCCCCGCGTTTCCTGTGGCTCTCCCATGTCTGGGAGGGCCCTGCAGGAGCAGGTGAGGTGGGATGAGGCTCTCCCCTGAGCCAGAGCTCTCCCGCAGTCCCTCAAGTCCCGTGGGTACGTGAAGGAGCAGTTTGCTTGGAGACACTTCTACTGGTACCTGACCAATGAAGGTATCCAGTACCTGCGTGACTACCTGCACCTGCCCCCCGAGATCGTCCCGGCCACACTGCGCCGCAGCCGCCCCGAGACCGGCCGGCCCCGGCCCAAGGGTGAGCATGGGGACAGCGGGGGGACAGGGGTGCTGTGAGCTCAGGTGTGAGCACAGGTGAGTGTGTGGCACAGGGGTGCTGGCAGCTGTGCCTGCCATGGGGTGTGGATGTACTTGGCTGGTTGTGCTTTCTGCTGCTGAGCTCCATCACATCCCTCAGCCAGGACAGGCACAGAGGGTGTGGGGAGTTCCCTCTGGCTCCCCCAGCTTCCCAGCCTCACAGGGAAGGATTGCACTGCAGCTGGGCAGGTGAAGGTTTCTTTGATCTCTTGAGTAGCTTTGGATGTTCCCAGATTTATTCTTTAGCTGCTGATTATCCTGAGAGCCAAAGGAACTGCATCCCTGCTGGGAGGGGAGGGATTGCAGCTCCTGGATGGCATGTGCTGAGGGCATTGCAGTGCCAGTGCCCTTGCTCAGCCCCTGGGAGCACCTGGAAGAGTTGAACCAGTGCTCAGTTTCCCTGGGAATCTCCTGCTTGAGTCTGCAGCAGCCTGGGAGTCACAGAGGTGTGTGTGGATGGGGGTGCAGGATGGAGCTTAGGGGTCTTGCCTGAGCTCTGGGGGTTTGAGGGCCTTTTTTGGTGCTTCCATGTTTGGTGCCAACACTCCAGTGAGGCCTGGAGCAAGCAGGAACAGGAGGGCTGGGGCAGGTTTGTCCTTTGGGGTTTGTGTCTGTGTCACAGGTGTAATTGGATGTTTGGGCATTGAGGATGGACTTAGCTGGAGTTTAAAACAACACATCCCTGGGCAGGGGATGTGCTGTGGTGGTTTGACCTGGCAGGGAGGGAGGAGGATGTGGAAGCACCTGCAGGATAAGGTTGTTTGCACCTCAGTGAGAGGTGTCTGTTTATAATAGAATTGCTGCAAGAACTGAGTTTCCTGTGGGAAAACCAGTGCCTGTGGTGTCAGCCAGGCCTGCAGGAGGACTCTGGGTGGGGGGAGGCAGCAGCTGCCCCTCGGGGGTCCTGGCTGGGTGGGCAGAGCCTGGTCTGGGGCTCAGGAGCACATCCAGCCCCTGGGAGTGGCACAGGAGCTGGAGGTCCCACCACGGCTGGTCCTTCCTGCAGGTGTCTGGTGTTCATCTGAGGCCCCACAGAGAATCTGCTCTTAGTTTTTGGAGCATGTTCCATGGGGGATTTGGGGCACTGACAGTGGAGCTGGTTCGGGCCTGGGTCAGTGATGTGCAGTGTGTGATGTGGCTGTGGACAGAATTCCTGTGTTTCTGATTTCTTTATAATCAGTAATGTTTGGCTCCTGTTTTACAGGCAGAAGGTGTTGAGATGGTGCTGTAAATCTGTTTTGCACATTATCTAACCTCCACCCAGTCACAGGCTGAGGCACCTCAGCAGATTTCACCCTCAAAGTGAAGTTTTCCTTGTTAAATCACTTGTCCATAGGTTTGTTCCCACTGAGCTGCCCCAGGTGCAGGTGCCCCAGCAGGAGCTGTGTCTGTGTGACTAGGAGCTGTGTGTCCCCTGTGAGCAGGGGTGTGCTGAGGAGCTGTCTGTGAGCAGGATGTGCTGAGGAGCTGTCTGTGAGCAGGGGTGTGATGAGTTGTGCTGTGTTGCAGGGCTGGAGGGCGAGCGGCCGGCGCGGCTCACGCGGGGCGAGGCTGACCGCGACACGTACCGACGCAGCGCTGTGCCACGTGAGTGTCCCTGCTCCCAGGGCCCTGCTGTTGACCTCCTCTCGGCAAGGAAGGGCCATCACGAGGCTCTTGGCCTTTGCTCAGCCGAGTCCTCTGTACCTGTGGGTGGGAGGTGATGGAGATGGGGTGCATTGATCACTGACTCCTTCTCTCTGCAGCTGGTGCTGACAAGAAGGCTGAGGCTGGGGCTGGAGCAGCCACTGAGTTCCAGTTTGTGAGTATTTGCATGTGTTCCTTTACTGAGGCTTTGACAGGAGAAGCTGTGGAGGTCCTACCTGTGTGCTCCTCAGTGTGGGGCTCTAGAGGGGCTGTGGACAGTCACCTGTCCCACCCAGCTCCCTCACTGCTGGGACAGAAGATGGTGAGAGGTTGGAGGAGACAGTGACAGCTTTGAGGAGACAGTGCCAGGTCTGGAGCAAGCTGTGCTCTCTGGAGATCGGTGATTTTACACTTCGGAAACCAGAGAGTTTCAGGTGTGACGCACAGAACTGGAGTGGGCTGATGTTGTTGTTAACCTGTTGGTTAACCTGTGCCAGGTAGTGAGTGTTAGGCTGTGCTTGGGGCTTCCCAGGGTAACCCCAAGTTGAGGGAAGAGCTTTGATGATGTTTGTTCTTCCTGCTGTGTCTTTGCTGTTGTCACTTGCTTGATGTGGTGGTTTCTAATGCTCTCCCTTTCTGTTGCAGAGAGGTGGATTTGGCCGTGGCCGCGGGCAGCCTCCGCAGTAGAACTCCTGCTCTTGTTTTGTGTATAATAAAAGATGTGAAAACCACCTGGGCTCATCCCTCTGTCTCACTGCAGTGCATAAACAGCTCACTGAGGGGGTGACTCAAATCTCTGGCATGTGTAGCAGCAGTGAGGAGGTGACTTGTGACTAGAAAACAGGTTCTAGGAAAGGAACTGAGGGGTGTGTTGGAGGTGATTCCTCGGGAGGAATGTGGAGCCATTTCTCTACCTGCCCAGGAGGCTGCTGGTTCCCAGCGGTGCCCCGGGGCTGGGTGAGACGACTCTGTGTCCCCCTGCGAGGGAGACACGGCCAGGGCGTGTCCTGCGTCCTGGGGCGGGTCACCTGTGGGGGGTTGTGACCTGTGAGGGGCTGTTACCTGTCGGGGGGTTGTGACCTGTGAGGGGTTGTG